GTACCAGATATCTGAGTAGACCAGCTGTACCAGATATCTGAGTAGACCAGCTGCACCAGATATCTGAGTAGACCAGCTGTACCAGATATCTGAGTAGACCAGCTGTACCAGATATCTGAGTAGAACAACTGTATCAGATATCTGAGTAGACCAACTGTACCAGATATCTGAGTAGACCAGCTGTACCAGATATCTGAGTAGACCAGCTGTACCAGATATCTGAGTAGACCAGCTGTACCAGATATCTGAGTAGACCAGCTGTACCAGATATCCGAGTAGACCAACTGTACCAGATATCTGAGTAGACCAACTGTACCAGATATCTGAGTAGACCAGCTGTACCAGATATCTGAGTAGACCAGCTGTACCAGATATCTGAGTAGACCAGCTGTACCAGATACCTGAGTAGACCAGCTGTACCATATATCTGAGTAGACCAACTGTACCAGATATCTGAGTAGACCAGCTGTACCAGATATCTGAGTAGACCAGCTGTACCAGATATCTGAGTAGACCAGCTGTACCAGATACCTGAGTAGACCAGCTGTACCAGATACCTGAGTAGACCAGCTGTACCATATATCTGAGTAGACCAGCTGTACCAGATATCTGAGTAGACAAGCTGTACCAGATATCTGAGTAGACCAGCTGTACCAGATATCTGAGTAGACCAGCCAGATATCTGAGTAGACCAGCTGTACCAGATATCTGAGTAGACCAGCTGTACCAGATATCTGAGTAGACCAGCTGTACCAGTAATCTGAGTAGATCAGCTGTACCAGATATCTGAGTAGACTAGCTGTACCAGATATCTGAGTAGACCAGCTGTACCAGATATCTGAGTAGACCAGCTGTTCCAGATATCTGAGTAGACCAGCTGTACCAGATATCTGAGTAGACCAGCTGTACCATATATCTGAGTAGACCAGCCAGATATCTGAGTAGACCAGCTGTACCAGATATCTGAGTAGACCAGCTGTACCAGATATCTGAGTAGACCAGCTGTACCAGATATCTGAGTAGACCAGCTGTACCAGATATCTGAGTAGACCAGCTGTACCAGATATCTGAGTAGACCAGCTGTTCCAGATATCTGAGTAGACCAGCTGTACCAGATATCTGAGTAGACCAGCTGTACCAGATATCTGAGTAGACCAGCTGTACCAGATATCTGAGAAGACCAGCTGTACCAGTAATCTGAGTAGATCAGCTGTACCAGATATCTGAGTAGACTAGCTGTACCAGATATCTGAGTAGACCAGCTGTACCAGATATCTGAGTAGACCAGCTGTTCCAGATATCTGAGTAGACCAGCTGTACCAGATATCTGAGTAGACCAGCTGTACCAGATATCTGAGTAGACCAGCTATACCAGATATCCGAGTAGAACAACTGTACCAGATATCTGAGTAAACCAGCTGTACCAGAAGTCTGAGTAGACCAGCTGTACCAGATATCTGAGTAGACCAGCTGTACCAGATATCTGAGTAGACCAGCTGTACCAGATACCTGAGTAGACCAGCCAGATATCTGAGTAGACCAGCTGTACCAGATATCTGAGTAGACCAGCTGTACCAGATATCTGAGTAGACCAGCTGTACCAGATATCTGAGTAGACCAGCTGTACCAGATATCTGAGTAGACCAGCTGTACCAGATATCTGAGTAGACCAGCCAGATATCTGAGTAGACCAGCTGTACCAGATATCTGAGTAGACCAGCTGTACCAGATATCTGAGTAGACCAACTGTACCAGATATCTGAGTAGACCAGCTGTACCAGATATCTGAGTAGACCAGCTGTACCAGATACCTGAGTAGACCAGCTGTACTATATATCTGAGTAGACCAACTGTACCAGATATCTGAGTAGACCAGCTGTACCAGATATCTGAGTAGACCAGCTGTACCAGATATTTGAGTAGACCAGCTGTACCAGATACCTGAGTAGACCAGCTGTACCATATATCTGAGTAGACCAGCCAGATATCTGAGTAGACCAGCTGTACCAGATATCTGAGTAGACCAGCTGTACCAGATATCTGAGTAGACCAGCTGTACCAGATATCTGAGTAGACCAGCTGTACCAGATATCTGAGTAGAACAACTGTACCAGATATCTGAGTAGAACAACTGTATCAGATATCTGAGTAGACCAACTGTACCAGATATCTGAGTAGACCAGCTGTACCAGATATCTGAGTAGACCAGCTGTACCAGATATCTGAGTAGACCAGTTTTACCAGATATCTGAGTAGACCAGAGGTACCAGATATCTGAGTAGACCAGCTGTACCAGATATCTGAGTAGATTCAGCTGTATCCGATATCTGAGTAGACCAGCTGTACCAGATATCTGAGTAGACCAGCTGTACCAGATATCTGAGTAGACCAGCTGTACCAGATATCTGAGTAGACCAGCTGTACCAGATATCTGAGTAGACCAGCTGTACCAGATATCTGAGTAGACCAGCTGTACCAGTTATCTGAGTAGACCAGCTGTACCAGATATCTGAGTAGACCAGCTGTACCAGATATCTGAGTAGACCAGCCAGATATCTGAGTAGACCAGCTGTACCAGATATCTGAGTAGACCAGCTGTACCAGATATCTAAGTAGACCAGCTGTACTAGATATCTAAGTAGACCAGCTGTATCAGATATCTGAGTAGACCAGCTGTACCAGATATCTGAGTAGACCAGCTGTACCAGATATCTGAGTAGACCAGCTGTACCAGATATCTGAGTAGACCAGCTGTACCAGATATCTGAGTAGACCAGCTGTACCAGATATCTAAGTAGAACAACTGTACCAGATATCAGAGTAGAACAACTTTATCAGATATCTGAGTAGACCAGCTGTACCAGATATTTGAGTAGACCAGCTGTACCAGATATCTGAGAAGACCAGCTGTACCAGATATCTGAGTAGACCAGCTGTACCAGATATCTGAGTAGACCAGCTGTACCAGATATTTGAGAAGACCAGCTGTACCAGATATCTGAGTAGACCAGCTGTACCAGATATCTGAGTAGACCAACTGTACCAGATATCTGAGTAGACCAGCTGTACCAGATATCTGAGTAGACCAGCTGTACCAGATATCTGAGTAGACCAGCTGTACCAGATATCTGAGTAGACCAGCTGTACCAGATATCTGAGTAGACCAGCTGTACCAGATATCTGAGTATAACAACTGTATCAGATATCTGAGTAGACCAGCTGTACCAGATATCTGAGTAGACCAGCTGTACCAGATATTTGAGTAGACCAGCTGTACCAGATATCTGAGTAGACCAGCTGTACCAGATATCTGAGTAGACCAACTGTACCAGATATCTGAGTAGACCGGCTGTACCAGATATCTGAGTATAACAACTGTATCATATATCTGAGTAGACCAGCTGTACCAGATATCTGAGTAGACCAGCTGTACCAGATATCTGAGTAGACCAGCTGTACCAGATATCTGAGTAGACCAACTGTACCAGATATCTGAGTAGACCAACTGTACCAGATATCTGAGTAGACCAGCTGTACCAGATATCTGAGTAGACCAGCTGTACCAGATATCTGAGTAGACCAGAGGTACCAGATATCTGAGTAGACCAGCTGTACCAGATATCTGAGTAGACCAGCTGTATCAGATATTTGAGTAGACCAGCTGTACCAGATATCTGAGTAGACCAGCTGTACCAGATATCTGAGTAGATCAGCTGTACCAGATATCTGAGTATAACAACTGTACCAGATATCTGAGTATAACAACTGTATCAGATATCTGAGTAGACCAGCTGTACCAGATATCTGAGTAGACCAGCTGTACCAGATATCTGAGTAGACCAGCTGTACCAGATATCTGAGTAGACCAGCTGTACCAGATATCTGAGTAGACCAGTTGTACCAGATATCTGAGTAGACCAGCTGTACCAGATATCTGAGTAGACCAGCTGTACCAGATATTTGAGTAGACCAGCTGTACCAGATATCTGAGTAGACCAGCTGTACCAGATATCTGAGTACACCAGCCAGATATCTGAGTAGACCAGCTGTACCAGATATCTGAGTAGACCAGCTGTACCAGATATCTGAGTAGACCAGCTGTACCAGATATCTGAGTAGACCAGCTGTACCAGATATCTGAGTAGACCAACTGTACCAGATATCTGAGTAGACCGGCTGTACCAGATATCTGAGTAGACCAACTGTACCAGATATCTGACTAGACCGGCTGTACCAGATATCTGAGTAGACCAGCTGTACCAGATATCTGAGTAGACCAGCTGTATCAGATAACTGAGTAGACCAGCTGTACCAGATATCTGAGTAGACCAGCTGTACCAGATATCTGAGTAGACCAGCTGTACCAGATATCTGAGTAGACCAGCTGTACCAGATATTTGAGTAGACCAGTTGTATCAGATATCTGAGTAGACCAACTGTACCAGATATCTGAGTAGACCAGCTGTACCAGATATCTGAGTAGACCAACTGTACCAGATATATGAGTAGACCAGCTGTACCAGATATCTGAGTAGACCAGCTGTACCAGATATCTGAGTAGACCAGCTGTACCAGATATCTGAGTAGACCAGCTGCACCAGATATCTGAGTAGACCAGTTGTATCAGATATCTGAGTAGACCAACTGTACCAGATATCTGAGTAGACCAGCTGTACCAGATATCTGAGTAGACCAACTGTACCTTACATGAGTCAGGTACCCACCAGAGCTGGGTAGCCTCGGGGACTTGAATCCAGATTTGAACCTCGAATCTTTCGGGTAAGCAGTCTAGAGCTAGACCATGCCGTCCCACACTATCGACACTACTAAAATTACATTTTCTTATAGTGCATTAGTCCTTTTGCAAGCATCAAGATCTGTTTCATTTACAATATCGTAACTTATTTTCACCAATTATACTTAGCCGTCTAGATTTTAGGAGGATCACACTATGCCTATAGACATGTGGACGCTTATATCAACAAAATGGATGTACTAACCAAGCAGTAGAGTCAAAACACAGAACATCAGCAGACGAGACATGGCGTTTGTTGTTAGTTTATCAGAGAAACGGTACAATCTTGTGAGGTTAAGCACAACTGATATATCATGGAAAGTTATAAACACTAGAAATTGGACCGTGCACTGTGAAATAAAATGTACTACACACACGGATGTTTGGTGGAGAAAGAAATGTAATGACGCCCAGGAGATTAACACGTTTTTTATACTGTAAATCCTGTATCGAAACGGATGTTATGGGGGCCTGTCGTCTCACTGGTTAGTTTAGTCATGTGATTTAGTCCTGTGATTCACGTAGTTGTGTAGAATTTACATTTCTTACTTAAAAGGCAAAAAGTTGGGCGGGGGGGGGGGGGGGGGGAGGGTGTGGCGGATGTGTTAAGACGACTATGCGGATATATTGCAGCTTGTATACATCGAATACTAGGGCTTAGGACTGCTAGCCGTAAGTCTCGAGTTCGGATCCCGAGCTCAAGCCTTTAGGACGTCCCTGAGTCAACTCAGCTCTGATGGGTACCTTACTCACATAAATAAAACTACGGCAGCTGGGCTTAATGTTGACCCCAGTATCCCCTGTATTCCGCAGCCACAGAAATAGATGAACTCTACTTTATCCATCCAATGTGTCTTGGGTACGAACGAAAAAAACAACGATAATTATAATACATCGAAAACTAATCAGTCTCTCGTCAACAAGGTTTCAACCAGCATAGGTGTGATGTTTCTACGTTCTATACTTGTGACAAAAGACTTGTTGTGCGATGAAAAAACTTCTCACACCTTATTTGTTTATCTGTTGCTGTGTAAACTGATTGCTCTAAGCGAGTAGGTCAGCCACAAACATTGTTTTAGTCCGAGGGTAATGGGGGCGTCCATAAATGACGTCACACTCGGAGAGAAAAAAGGAGGGGTCTTTAATTTTGTGATGATGTGTGATGATGGGGGAGGGGGCTCGGAAATTTGACGTCACACATTTGCAGTTTACAAAATGAATGTTAGAAACTGAATAAATAGAAATAGATATTGAATATAATACTCTATGTTGACCGAATTCAGTCAATATTTTAGAAAAAAAATCGATGTTTTCAAAAAATAATCCAAATGCAAATTTGAAGGGGATTTGTAGGCTGGGGTGTTGCGTAGTTTTAGGGAGGGGGGGATGAGGGGGGGGGGGTGAAACCTGTCTTTTTGTGACTATGTGTGACGGAGGGGAGGGTGCAGAAGCTGAAAATCGTCAAGACAAAAAGCTGGACGTCATTTATAGATGACTCCTGAATATGGAAACGTTACTATATAATCCATAATCCCACACACGTCAGTGAGTGATAGAACGACAACATAACGCTAAACAACCGAGCAACGTCCAGCTGTTTGAACATTATACTAACCTACTTGTGTACACACATCAAACATTATACTAACCTACTTGTGTACATACATCAAACATTATACTAATCTACTTGTGTACACACATCAAACATTATACTAACCTACTTGTGTACACACATCAAACATTATACTAACCTACTTATGTACACACATCAAACATTATACTTACCTACTTGTGTACACACACCAAACATTATACTAACCTACTTGTATACATACATCAAACATTATACTAACCTACTTGTGTACACACATCAAACATTATACTAACCTACTTGTGTACACACATCAAACATTATACTAACCTTCTTGAGTACATACATCAAACATTATACTAACCTACTTGTGTACACACATCAAACATTATACTAACCTACTTGTGTACACACATCAAACATTATACTAACCTACTTGTGTACATACATTAAACATTATACTAACCTACTTGTGTACACACATCAAACATTATACTAGCCTACTTGTGTACACACTTCAAACATTATACTAGCCTACTTGTGTACACACATCAAACATTATACTAACCTACTTGTTTACACACATCAAACATTATACTAACCTACTTGTGTACACACATCAAACATTATACTAACCTACTTGTGTACACACATCAAACATTATACTAACCTACTTGTGTACACACATCAAACATTATACTAACCTACTTGTGTACACACATCAAACATTATACTAACCTACTTGTGTACACACATCAAACATTATACTAACCTACTTGTGTACATACATCAAACATTATACTAACCTACTTGTGTACACACATCAAACATTATACTAGCCTACTGGTGTACACACATCAAACATTATACTAGCCTACTTGTGTACACACATCAAACATTATACTAACCTACTTGTGTACACACATCAAACATTATACTAACCTACTTGTGTACACACATCAAACATTATACTAGCCTACTTGTGTACACACATAAAACGTTATACTAGCCTACTTGTGTACACACATCAAACATTATACTAGCCTACTTGTGTACACACATCAAACATTATACTAACCTACTTGTGTACACACATCAAACATTATACTAACCTACTTGTGTACACACATCAAACATTATACTAACCTACTTGTGTACATACATCAAACATTATACTAACCTACTTGTGTACATACATCAAACATTATACTAACCTACTTGTGTACACACATCAAACATTATACTAACCTACATGTGTACACACATCAAACACTATACTAACCTACTTGTGTACACACATCAAACATTATACTAACCTACTTGTGTACATACATCAAACATTATACTAACCTACTTGTGTACATACATCAAACAGTATACTAACCTACTTGTGTACACACATCAAACATTATACTAACCTACATGTGTACACACATCAAACACTATACTAACCTACTTGTGTACACACATCAAACATTATACTAACCTACTTGTGTACACACATCAAACATTATACTAACCTACTTGTGTACACACATCAAACATTATACTAACCTACTTGTTTACACACATCACGAGCGGGGGTTGACGGATGCACGAGTTAGGCTGCGGTTACACTATACGTCGGCAGTCCGAATTTCTGTTTCTGACAACACGGCCGAACAACTGGAAAGCAAACAAAAAGTATAACCCAGTTCTATTGGTTACACTAGATCCGAACTCATCGTCCGAGTCGTCAGACTACGTCAGGCGCCTGATGAGGAACTTAAAATTTTGTTTCTGTTCTGACGGAAAACACATTCTGATGAAAATTTATCTGGCAGGGATAAACAAAATATAAAATGGAGGACTTCAGTTTGAACAGAAAGTTGTAGTATTTGACACAGAGAAGCTGATTTTTACTTACTCAAGAGAGAAAATTAAAGGTCTGAAATAGCCGATTAACTCGGATGTACAAGTTAAGTAATTTATTTCACTTATTCACTTCATTGATTAATTTTTATCATTCATTCACATTTTTTTTTGGTAATCGACTCTCACTCAACTCACTTCAAAAGTTCAAGTGACTCAACTCGTAGATCTAGAACTAGATTATTTCTAGTTCTAGATCTAGACCAGGGGCCTCCAAACTTTTCAGTCCGAGGGCCGCATTAACTATCAAATTTCAGTTCGGGGGCCAGTTTCTTCCAGGCATGTCATTGATTTTTCTGGGCAAAGATCCTAACCATTACCAACAAACGTTTTTTTCCGTGGACAAAAAGATCTCCGCGGGCCGGATGAGAGAACCTCGCGGGCCGCATCTGGCCCGCGGGCCGTAGTTTGGAGACCCCTGATCTAGACTAATCTAGACTCTAGATCTAGAGCTAGATCTAGATCTAGAAAACTAGATCTATACTAGTCTAAATCTCTAGTCTCTAGTAGTAGACTCTCTACTCTTGGTTATAAAATTGAATCTATCATTCTCGGCTAGGCCTATCTCAACTATCTGATAGTCTATCTAAATTCTAATATCTAGAATCTATGACATAGATCTATTTTTCTAGTATTCTATGATTCTTTTTAGATCTAGATCTCTATGTATATTATTATGATATTATCTATAGGACTATTGGTAGATCTATAATAATATGTATGAAGTATATAGTATAGTTAAGTATAGGCCTATATTTAAATTTATTTATTGAATCTATTTTTAGGTTAATAATTAAATTTATATTAATAGGCCTAAATCTAATCTAAATTAAGAGTATAGATATAGATTCCTGTACTGTAATGTTACTATATAATACTAGATCTATATAACTGTCTATAGGAATCAAGATCTAGGCTTAGGCCCAGACAATTATGATAGAAAAGTCTGGATCTAGGTGTAGACTACTAGATGTAGTAGTAATTAATTAATGAGCTGGTTACTTAATTCACTACAGTCCTAACTATTTTTTACCCGCCCTTTTCTATCTAGAAACCTATTTCATTTATAACCTGTAGGCATACATATAAATTATATGTATCCAACACATTAAAGTTACAATCAGTCTAAACTGATGTTTATATTTAATTCATTTCAGGTGCACAAGCAAAAACCAAGTGGAAAAACCTGCTTGATACATTTAGAAAGGAGCATATCAAGATTAGCAACAAAAGAGTAACTGGCAGTATAGCTCCAAACAAACCATGGACATATTATAATCAATTATCCTTTATGAATGATTGTTTCGCTTCCAAGCAAACGATAAGCAGCATACAGATACCTTCAACTTCAATTCAGTATCGAGTGAAACCATTGTTTAAAAGATATTTTATTTTTGATGACACTGATTCAAATTGTATTCAAGTTGTGGAAGAAGCAATTGCTAAAGATCCTGACCCAGGATTAAGTAATTTTGTGTTATGCCTGAATAAAAAAATTAATTGAAAAGTGTATGTTTACTGTTTTATTATTTTTAAGAGGTCTTCAAATGCAGGCCTAAACTGTAATACCAGTTGTTAAAATAAGAATTCAATGAGGCCTGTGTCTTATGAGATGTATTTCTGTTAATCATGCTACTTAAACATGTTTTACAGATTTGCTTAATAAATTAAAACAATGAATTATGCTTTTTAAATGATCAAAAACCAATACCATTTTAGTTTGTAACAATCTAACATGTAACTGACATTGAGTTAGAAAATTAAGTCTAACCAGTAGGCCTAACTGGTGGAAATGGTGGAGGCCCTATGTTCTATAAGGAGCAAGTAGGACTAGGTCAAAGTTAGTCAAGTAGGCCTAACTGTAGGAATCATTGATATTGATCAGGTGATTCGGCCAATGATTATATTATTATCTATGAATAATATAAATAAAACAAACA